CAAGGCCCTCAGCATCCTCCTCCCGCCTCCACCAACCACACACCTCTTCTGGTCCAAACTTTCTTTTACATAAATCAACTCCGTTCTCCCTCTCCCTCCCTCCTTCCAAGTTGGCCACTTCTCCGCCCTTCAAGAAGAAATCAGAATTGACAAGCCAAATTCTTTGATGAAGAACGCCAACAGCAGTGCTTTATCAAAAACAGTGGCAAGGATTATTAGCTAAAAGAGATATTTAAGACAAGAATTGTTTAAGCCTTCCGTTTAGTTTACGCTCACAGGGGTTTGTGCCAAAGCAGCTTCATTCAAATTCACACTGTGTGGGCCTTCGGATGCAAGAGCGTCTGTAAATGCTGTCCAGAACAGAACTGAAGGCTTTTCTGCAACCCGAGTTCAGAGGACAGGAATCTGATAGCTCATTCACTGCAACATGCATTCGAGTTCAGACAACTGTGCAAAGTTAGACAATCTATAGCTTACTTTTACACGCGACTGAAAGCATTGATAAACAGGGCAGAACAATTTTATTATTGCCTGCGACAGACGCAAAGAGAGAAAAAAAAAACCTTTTGCCAGTGCCAGCAAGTTCCTCCAACCCCATCTCCCTCTGTCCCCGCCCACTTGACCCTTCGCACCCAGATTTCTTGAAAAGGGAAATGACTGAGAGGGGGGTTAGGATTTTAAAGCAAAGATGCCAGAGGGAAGAAAGAAAGTCCAAGGTGGCAAAGCTCCAAGGGTAGGAAATGAAAATAAACGTGGAGGGGTGGAGAGCAGAAAATAAGGGACAACACTAAGTTTAGGTTACACACGAAAAGGTGGAAGAGGGTGACACCCGCCCCTCCCCCCGTTCTTACCCCCACAAAGATACAAATAAGCTAAATATCCTAAAAATAAATACACAGTGCACCAGAGATAACAAGGGCCGGGCTAGAGGAGGCTCTCGGATGGAGGAGATGAGAGATGGTGGTCCTTTCGCTTCAGCCTTACCTCGTTGGACAAAATGCTTCCGTTGGAGATGATGTCGGGCTGCTGGTCTGTGTAGCCAGTGACGATGGCCCCGCAGGGGTTGTGCTCAGTGTCCGTGCTCCGAGAAGGGCTGCAGGGCTTAAGGAACATCAGGTCGGTCTTGGCGGACTCGGGGGTCAGGCAGACCTGGTAGCAGTAATTCTGGTTGTGGTGGTGGGAGCCGAAGCCCCCCGACTCTTCCACGGGCACCTGGGCCGGGTTGCTGGGCACGTTGGAGCTCTGCACCAGCATGATGTCCGACTTGCTGAGTTTCTTCTTGCGCGCCCGGGCTTGGCGGCCGCAGCAGGTCGAGCCCCCGCCGCCGCAGCAGCAGCAGCAGAGGCAGCAGTCGCTGGCCAGACACGTGTAGATGTTGAGCTTCTTCTCTTTTTGGCAACGCACGGCCAGCACGATCATGGCCAGCAGGAAGATGAAGGACACCGACCCCAGGGCGATGATGAGGATGAGGGTGAGGTCCAGCGAGCTGTCCCCGCCGCCCGAGCGGTTGGGGCGCTGGTGCTCCCCGGAAG